AAAAGGCATATGGGCAAGGGCAACTTTACCTTGGGTTTTGTTTTTTAACAAATTATAACAAAAATTTGCCCAGCTCTTACTGAAAGGTAAATGAAAGCTCTGCGTACATTTTTAGCGCATAATCTCAAAAACGTCAAATTTTGAGTTGTGACTCATACATGTGGATATTTTATAAATGCTATTTTTATATATTCAGAAACCCCCGATTATGAACCTCAAGTGTATTCTAAAATCTGCAAAAGCCGTCAACCTATGCATCATTCTCAATATCTATCGTAAATTTGCGGCAATCAAACTATGACTTGCAATTTTTAATTACATAAAAAATAACGTAACGCATGTATACACGCATGTATATGTGAGCCATATGTACACTAAAATCAAGTTTACCCAGCAAAAAATTGAACGAGCTCTTAACAATTGTGGTTCAAATTACTTTGTGCGCTAATTTCAGCGGCAGCTCTTAAGGTAATCTTAATAAAGCAAAATTAGAATTTCCTTACACCGCCCTTCTTTTCACTTATTTTTGCCGCATTGATTTTGTTTTATTTTTTCTTTAAGTAAAGTGATTTATGAACATTCGCTCTCAACATTTATTAAAGGTTTATTTGAAAAAAAAAAAAAATTAAATAAACCTAATATTAATCACGCTTATTTAACGTTTATTATAGCAAACTTACTTTAAGTTATTTAAAAAAAAACATTTACTGAAATACCTGTTGGGTATAATCTTCTTGGGCATCTGTACATTTTCTAATACAGAAACAAAGTTACTGTTCTTAAAAACACCTCCGCGGATTTTGTTAACTTTTTGGATTATTATGATCAGAGAGCCACTACTGATTCAATATCAAGAAGAAAATTTCACAAGTAAATACCTTTAATTTAATGCCAGATCAGCTGCACCGTGATATAAAGAATTTTAACAGGATTATTTAAAAGTGTGTGTTTTAAAGTCTTTTATATTGTTGTTAACATTTTACAGATTTATTTAGATTAACTGATATGTTTAATCGTTTGAATATAAATCCAATGCGGGTAATAATGTTGTTTGTGATGTTGATGGAAGGCTTGATCTGCGCAGACTTTGTTCTTTGTCCAAAATCATTCGTCGAATTGAGATGTACATTTCATCCGCCATATTTGAGTTTTTCTTGGCAATTCGACGAAGTGCGTTGCCAATCTCGATTCCCTTCTCGGCGAATTCATCCACTTGACTTGAAATTAATTCGGTAAAATATTTCTCACGAGTATAAACCGGTTTGGCATTTAAACAGGTGCATCCCTTTTTTGTTCTTTTTGGTAGATGTTCTGTGGATACATCTGTTGTAGTACCTTCACTGTTGGAGTTACTATTATCTTCATAGTGATTACCATCCTAAAAATAAATCAAAATACATATAATATTTTTACAGTGGGCATAACAAAACAATTTGTTTTTCAGGCATCGACTACGGAATATGAATGGAAAGAGCTATAGCCAATGATTCGACTTTTTGAATTTCGGGCGCAGTAACTTTAAATGTAATACTGCTCTCGTCAACTGCCATCGATTGTTGTTGTTGTAGCAGCATACAAATTCCCCAAAGACTTTTTGGGGAGTGTTGCTGGAGTGACAGTCCTTGGCCAGATATAAATCTGGGTCGTTCCGGTTACGTAGACCCGACTGTCGTGGGATCGATCAATTTTCATGCTTAAAAGGGGCTTAATGAGTTGGAATCGTACCAGCACAAGTGTTTGATAAATCCATGGAATAATATTGGACGTTCGGAGAATGGAAGTGTGTGAGGTGGCTGTGACTGTAAGCATTTCAGCTAAGTTAGTACATCGCTGCATTTTAGATGAATATTAGGATATGAAAAAGCTTTCCGCGCGATGGATGGAAACATGGATCCACCACAATACATCAAAGCAAAGTCGGTCTGTCGGACAATAATCTAATGGCCACAGTATTTTGGGACTCACGCGGTGGCATTCTCATCGATTATCTGGAAAAGGGTAAAACGATGGCTGGCGTATATTATTCAGAGATTTTGGGCGGATTCGATATTGATTTGCAGCACAAACGTCCACATTAAGACAAGAAAAAAGTGCGCGGTTCCATCAAGGCAATGTACGAGTGGATTGGGCAAAAATCCTTCAATCGGGCTACGAACTCTGACCCCATCCACCATATTCAGATTTAGCAACCAACGACTATTTCCTGTTTCCAAACCCAGAAAAATCGCTGGGCGGTAAGAGATTTCGGTAGAATGAAGCGGTCATCTGTGAAACAAACGCTGATTTAGAGGATGTAGAAAAACCTTTCATTTGGAAGGAATTAAAGAATTTTAAAACGCTGAACTAAGTGTATGCCGCTAAAAGGAGATTATTATGACTTTTCAAATTGCTCTCGTAGTTGGCGCGAATTGTGTGTTGCATAATTTTTACGTGCGCACCGATGTGCATAGATTCAGAAGATAACTGAAAAGTCACCACAAAATCTATCATGCAATGCATAGAATATATTGAAAAAATTTTAGAACTTTTTCGTTGAACCTCAGGGAGAGAAGTGTCATGGCTATACAAAAAGTGTGGAATATAAAATAATTTATGTAAATACTATAAGAAAATGCTTACCAAATTATCTGCATTACCCGCTTCTTCGGTAGCTTCACATTGAAGAAATCTTAAAGAACTCATAAATCTCCACTCTCTCTTTCTCACAGTTTTAGTTTGCTTTTCTTTCTGCAAATACTTAAAAAATGTTTGACGCATGCCTATAAATAAATATAACAAATCAGTAAACTTATTGCATTTTTATCAAAAACACGTATGTACATACTTCGCCAACGAGCTTGCACTTCAGTTTCCTGACATTCAAGAACCTTTGCAATTTTTTTTAGTGATGCATCTGTAACATTTCGTTTTGCATGATTCGGATCTGCTCTCTTCCACAAACATGGCTGTGCTTCAACGAGTTCGAAGAGATGCAAATACTTGCTATCGGGCCATGTCTATTTTCATGTTATTAAAATAACATATTTATTATTCTAAAAAAACAAAAACAAATTTAATATGAAATGCATAAAATTACATACCTGCATGTCTTTAATTTTTTGCTTATTTGCTGCTTGTCGTGGGCCTGATTCGTCCATTTTAACCGCATCAACACAAGAATACACAAGAAATTTAAAATAAATGTGAGACGGATTGTTCTCACCAACATGTTGAAAAGAATAAATATAAGTCATGAGAACGATCGATTGCGATCATGAGAATAGTCCAATAAATACTATTTATTTACAGGAGCATAAGAATAGTTCTTATGAGAATTTAGATTTTTTATGAGAATAAATTCTCGTTGCTATTTACAAGATTCTCCGGTATAAAATCGGTGTTATGACACCACTTTCACGAGAAACAGCAAAATCCATCAAGTCACAGAAAATATACTTTGTTTCGGGTGATCCATATTAGACCTTTTTAATTTAATTTCAAATAAAACACTTAAAACATAACTGGGTGTTGGAATATTTATTATTGCCCGAAAGGACCTTCTCTGAAATTTACTTTTTTAAATAATTTCATTCAACTGTTGGCCGCAGACAGAACATAATCTTCAATAACGAGCATGCCGCACCTTTATAACGGACTTTTAGCTGCCTGAAATTGAAGCGCGTGATGTTGGCAACATTTGGAAATTATTTTAAGGAAGTAAATGTCAAAAATGTTCTTTCGGGCAATAATAGAGATTGCGACGTTCAGTTATGTTTTAAGTATTTTATTTGAAATTAAGAAAAGGTCTAGATGGATCACTATTTAAATAGGTAAATTAATTGTTTATCTCAGCAATATTAAAATATTTTTTTGATGTGTAAATATCTTAGCTCCCAGCTAGGCGAAATTTGGATTCTAGCCTCATTGTAAACCATGCGGTCGTATGTTCGAGTACCATGGTCAGTAGATTATTCATTAAATTTTTATGTTTTTTTTATTATTCAATGATAATGCAATAACAATGGGAAAATTTTTTTCGAATCTTCAAAACCTGTAAAAACTTCAAACATTTTAGAAATATCTTCAGTATGCAGTCTTATAACCCATTCAAATTTAGTAGACTACGGTGCAAGTTTGACGAAGCACCATACAAAGTATTAAAGTTCGACGAATTTTTTTTATGGAAGAAAATGAACTACGCCTTCAACAAAAAAAAATGCCAAAACTCATTATTGCACTAAAATTTAATAGACTACAAAACTGCATACTCAAAATCATTCTGAAAATTTTTACGAATTTTAAAAATTCGAAATAAATAGATCCCATTATAGGACTAGGCTTAAAAGTTGTGGAATAGATGACAGTTTGTTACAAAAAAATTTCAAGTATGTAAATCGATAATTAACTACGGGGAAAAAAAAATTTTTGTTTCAAAAATCGATATCTCGAAAACGGCTTTGATGTTCATTCGAAAAGCGTGACTATCGCGAATGCTAAGCAAATTTGTATTCCAACTATTTGATGTTATACATCCTCTCACTGCAATCATCTTGTAGACTGTTACTACCTCTGGTCACTTTGTAATTGGTGTTGAGGAGCACTCTTCCCTTTATGTGGAGCGCTTGTGGGTTTTCGCATAAACATACATACATATATGTATGTGCATATATAAATAAACAATAATATATAGTACAATGCATATGAACATGCTTATCATGATACGACAACTACTCTTAATCTTTTGTTTTTGCTACTTTTTTTTACTCGCACTCTTCACCAAATTGAGAGCATGCAAGTGAGTGCTCCCAATCAACCGGTGGCTACTACTTGCGACACGGTTACGGTAATAATGAGAGTCAACAAATGTCGATGGGGCTCAAGTGAAATGTTTACACGTATATATGTACGTATGTATGTATGTATTTCCATTGATACTGGCCATTAAAAAATCATTGTTGTTATTGGTGGCTCTTGGATACCCAAAAAGGCGGATCGCCGGCAACACAAAAAGGTAGAACCGCTGAACAGCTCAACCAGTTGGTGCGAGTTGCTCGAACGCGTCGGTTGGCTTTTTCCAAAGCTCTTTTTCGCTGTCATTCAGTGTTTTTAGCGCAATTATTTTTGGTAGAAACGAAAGTGTGTTCAACTTATAATTTGTATTTTTCAAATTAATTCAAAAAGGTAATGGAAGCGTGATTTTTTTTTTTTTAAATCACTATTGGCATGTGTTTTTGTGTGCTTGTACTAATTTAAGTAAGTGTGTGCTGAGAAAGACAAATAAGCATAAAATTCAATTTGCCAAATATTTTGAGCAGTGAACGAATCTGGTGGTATGCTCTTGGTCGAAATGAGTACCTATAAGCTTGGATGATCGTACGCAAGCCAACTCTTGCAAGGAGAGTTGATGAAAAGAAATGCGTTTTCATGGTTTAGTCATACATATGCATGTATGTATGTATGCATGTATGTATGTATGTATAGGCAAAATGGCACAGCGGCAAATGTGTCGAAAATCNTAATTTGCCAAATATTTTGAGCAGTGAACGAATCTGGTGGTATGCTCTTCGTCGAAATGAGTACCTATAAGCTTGGATGATCGTACGGAAGCCAACTCTTGCAAGGAAAGTTGATGAAAAGAAATGCGATTTCATGGTTTAGTCATACATATGCATGTATGTATGTATGCATGTATGTATGTATAGGCAAAATGGCACAGCGGCAAATGTGTCGAAAATCCCCGGAACAAACAAGTAAAAAAAAAAACTAAAACAATAAAAATAACTAACGGTCAAAATCAATTGTCTACGAAAGATTCTAATTGAAATTCACTGTAATCGTCACTATGTGCAAGTTCACGACTTTTATTTAAAATAATTACAAGTGGTTTGCTGTTAAGTGGTTTTCAGCAAAAGGGCCATTCCATTACGACCGGTGGAACGGCCATTTGACTTCAAAATATGATCAGTTGTGAATTAAACCTATGTCAGCGGAACTTATAGAACAGTGAAAAATATGTTTTCGCATAGATAGATAAATAACTAATCTATACAAGTTCTTAAAAAAAAAATACCAAAGCACTCAAAGTTGATTTTTTGCCAAAATTACTTAATTTTCAGAGCCAATTAATTTTTGTGTTGTAAAATTCATATTATACGCTTTCCTTTTCACTAAAACTTATGCTTCATAGAAATATTAAAAAGTATTTAAAACTGTGACTGGTGGGACAGTTCCTTGTGACTTTTGTAAAGTAAAAGTTTCCATAGACAAAAATTACACCTATTTTTTAAATATTTTTCAGCAGACTAATGGAAATGTGGTGATTGGAATAATTACAGCATTTTAAAAATGTTATGTCGTTTTCCTCTTTTACATGTTTTTGTTCGAGGGAAGATTTTTGAAGCACTCAACCATATCTTTTTATATACATACATACAAGCTATATAAAAGAAGCAGCAAATAGTGATGAATGCGTTACTAGATTGTTCTGTATATACATATGTACATATGTATGTCTATACATACTTGTTCGTCAAAAAAGTTAATAGCGCTTTTTTTGTTTGTTTTTTGTTACATACATATGTACACACATAAATATACCCGCACGTGCATATCTTCTTACATATATATGTTCATAAGTATGTACATATGTACCTTCCTCATAATGGCGGGTGTCCTTGATGATGATTCGAAATGAAAATTTTTTTGTTGGTTTTAAACTCTTCACAAAAATGATGACTTACTAATAATTGACTTGATTTGGCTACATTTTTATATACGAGCACACTTGTGCACAAGAGTATATCAAGTTTGCTCGTATAATGGTTGTTTGTAACAGCCTAAAGGAATCTAAATAGATATAGACATAAGTATATGTATGTACAGTGACTCAAACAAAGTACCACGTGCTGATGTTTTTTAAATATTCGTAATCTTTTTCGGGCTACTTTTTTGTTGTTATTTTTCTATAAAAATACCGTCCAAGCATTAACCAAACCATATACATAAATCACAGTTTCAGACTTTATACAAACTTTAGGAAAATTCAACAAATTTTCATCAAAATTTTAACCTTTTAATCGGAATCTATAGAACATTTTTGGTTATGCAATTTTATATAGCCCATATAATTTTTGGTCTAATGAAGTGCAAGTTTCAAAAATGCTCAGAATGAAGAGAAACATCGAGTAAGCTATTCTGTATCGAGTATTGAATTTAGGTATCTAAACGAAACTAGTAACTAATGAAGCTAATTTAGTAAAAATAGATATTTACAATTACCTCTGCACAAAAAATTATGTAAATTCTTAAATTTTTTTCGAATACGGGCCCTGCCGACCTATGATTTGTTGTATATGATTATCTCTGTTGTTGACTTTGGTCCAACATAGAAAAGGGTTAAAAAAAATGTTTATCAGACTATGACCACGTTCAGCTTCCATGTACTTAGGATCACATAAGTGGATCTAGGTAACCGCTTTATCCATGTTCAACAATTTTTCAATTATTTTAATAAATTATCATGAAAGAAAAGTGAAAACAACTATTTAATACGTGCGTCAGGTATTTAAGGTTGGGTTTCTCCCGGACCTCAGACTTCCTTACTTGTTTTGACTCTATTGGGTGAAGCAAAAAAAATTAATTATTTTTATTGAGGAAGTGTATTTTTTGAATTACATCTGTAATTTTCGTTGGCAGTATGCTGATTAAGGCAATCATTATTACATTTACAAAGCGGCAAAGTCATATTTACATATATGAAGATTCATAGCTGCAAATATACATACTTACTTACATACATACATTTGAATTTATGTATGTATGTATACATTTTTTAATTGTTAATAGTAATTTATCGGAGCTGAGGATGACTACTACACCCAATAATTGCTTAAACCTGTTCGTTTAATTACTGAAATTCTAAGTTTTAAATTGTTGGTAGCACGTTAGAATTTTTGCTGTCTGTATTGATAGACACATTACTACGCACAAATCACAGCCTGACACCTTAACGTTTTAATTCCACGCAGAGAACAAGATTTTGATTAATAAGTGGAAAAATTATTCAAATTCTTCATCAATGGTACCTTAAGGCTATTAAATTATTTAACTATTTAAGTAGAATTATGTTTAAATTCATTATAATCGCGTGCGAATAAAAAATAAACAAAAATGTACGAAAAACGACACAGCACACAATTATTTAAAAGCAAAAATAATAATTTAAAAATAATAAAAATCAGTTCCGAACAAATGTATCAGCACAGAGAGAGTTTTATATTTTACTGTTTTCGTTAATTTTTTATAAAAATATAGTAGATACTACAACAAAAACCAGAAAAATAAAATGTTTAGACTTTATGCAAAAGTCAAGAAAATTCAATAAATTTGCGTACTAACTTGAAACTTTCTAATCAGATTTTTTTAGAAAAATTCTATGCATGCAGTTTTATGGCCCATTCAATTTTAGTATAACAAAGTGCAAGTTTGAAATTGCCAAAAAACCGCGTTGATTTTTGGCAAAATATCTCGACTCTGGCGCCACCTAGCAAGACCATTTTACGCAAACATTTTTCTGCTTACATAACCAGTATACTATATTTAAAAAAAAGCAGACTAATTGGCCAATAAATACGTTAGATATATGACTTTAATTTTTTATTTTTTTTGTCGCGGTAGACCTTCCGATGGAAACACCCATCTTTCGTACATGAGAGTGGGCCTTGATTATAAAAAAACGTTATAATCACCAATAGTGATATATAATATGAGATATGTTTCTAATCTTCTTTTGAATATTTAACCGCATGATTTTTTTTTAGCAAAAGTGTACAGTCCACGTACCCCATACCACTTACTAATAGGAGTAGAAATTCCCGACGAATTACGAATTGGAAATTGGTCATTCCCTTAGAGTGATTGAACGAAAAAAAGAAAGAAATTAATGAAATAATTCCTGAAATGGTAAGAGCGCTATTTAACGTAAGGAATTTCGCAATTTCATTGTTAGTTTTGAAACGACAGCTGATAACAAAGTTGCAAATGTGGAAATCTGTTATCATATGTCCGCGCGATTAAGATGAAGGAAATAGATAAGAAAAAATGTACAGTGGATAAGTGTGGCAATTGCTAAGATTAAATGAACAAACATGTATTTAATTTATTGAAATTGCATGTAAATCGTATCACCGTATCAACACACTTGACACTATGCATCGTGTCGGGTGTTCATGTGGAGAGTCGACAATTACAAAAGTGTGTGTGAGTGTTTTTTTTTTGCCACAATATTGGTTAAAAAGGTGTCAAATTTTAAACGAACATTGCTTTTGCACATTTTTACCTGAACTGTTATTCGCATGCAGGTTATTTATGGATAAATGCCGGTAATAACTGCGTGAAACAAATACATATAATCGTATTTACGCCCATGGAAACAAACTGAATATTCGGTACACACCTATCTCGCTTTGTTACGAAATTCGAGTAATTGGCGATAAAACAAAAATAACAAACAATTTTACATACCATGTATGTACATATTTACAAATTTACGTCAACAAACTGAAGTGTTTTATATACCCGCTACACATAGGAAATGACTTGAAGGTTCGACTCTGTTGCAGCAGTGCGCTTCCGCCATCAGACTAAGAAGAATAAGAAGCTCTGGTTGCTCCTATAACTCTGAGTACTCGGCAAACTTGGGAATACTCGACTTCATGTCAGAAGAAATTGATCGGAGCGTTCCGTAGCTGGCCCCGAGCGGATCTTTGTCTACACACGTCCCTCCAAGCAGTGAATGAGAGAATGGCATCCTCCGGATAAGAGATCGAATAAACATCTTCACGCATGGATCGAAGAAGCTGAATGACGGAGTTGAAGGAAGTGTATTCTGGCAGGAACTTTTCAGTCAATTTCATCTTAGGGCTGCCGGATTTTTGTAGCATTTTTCAAGCAAAAAAAAAAGCCGATCGGCTACGCACCTGCGTATTACTGCTTAGAAGAGAAAATATCTACGCTGTTAGCCAAGCAGAAATTAGTGCTTCAGGATCGGTCGTAGTAGAATGCCTTACCCCTTTCTCAATCGTCTCGGTCCACTTCCAAATCATGTCGGTACAGTAACATCGAAGGAAATTGCAGGGCTGATGAATTAGCTAGGCAGGATACTCATGAGATATTCTCTTTTT